GCTGTAATAAAGCACGAGTATCTTACTATCATGGTAACATATGGAGTATATTGTACTTTTTTGTTGATGAGGTCAATGCAACAAGAGCAATTTTTGACACCCAACTTGGGAAGAATGACGTTCAGGGTTTTTTTTTGTTTTTTTGTGACAGGGTTTCTCTGTATTGTTTTGTAGGCCATCGGTCCAGCCCGGCCTCAAAGTCACAGAGATTTGCCTGCCACTGCCTCCTGAGTACTGGGATTAAAGGTGTATGCCACCACCACCAGGCGACATTCAGGGTTTTTTTTTAACGTGTGTATTTATTGAGGAGCACATTGCACTCTGACATCTTATAGGTGGCAAAAAGATACAATCCTGACTTGCACGAAACATGTCACTTAGATCCATGGCTCCTGAGAACACTCCCATGAGAAAGATCCATGCCTCATGAGAACACTCCCATGAAAACACAAAATGGTAAGGAATAGACCAGACACCTTAGAGACAGAAGCAGATGTACTCAGTTATTTTAGAGTGTAAATCTAATAAACTGCAAACTCTATACTCAGAATCATTGAGAACCATACAAATGAAGATAAAAAAAACGTTTCTTTTATGGTTCATAGAGATACCATCAGTGGAAGTCTTTAGGGGTGCTGACATGTGTTTAATGGATACCTGTACCTAAAAATGTTTAATGAAAAGGAAACTGAATAGAGAAGCTTGTCCGAATGTAGTGGTAATGTACAGAGTTCTCACACAGAAACCATCAAGGGAATTGAAAGATGCCGTGCACTTCTCATGTTCTTATAGAAAAGGCCTTCCTTTCAGAGAAAAGAAGCATACCCTCTCACTTACAAGTGCCATGGCCAAATATGTTAGAAATCATCTACAATAGGAAGGGCATCTAGAACACTGTTGATGTGCAAGGCTACATCGCCATCCCAAGGAATAAACCCCGTGATGATACATACCAAAGAACTAGTCCCTTTCATGAATTTTCTTAATATTGACATACAAATCATAAAGAATATCTGCCATATTTTCTGCTAATACACTCTCAATATAATCTTATAGACAGGTATAGAAGAAATCACAACAAAGACATCTTTGTTATAGAAGCCATATCCTGTCTGTGTTTGAGGACCACTTCCTATAGCAGTTCAGGCTAGAAATAGCAGTCAGGACACAATTCCATCCATGGCATTTTTCTTATTTCTAACTTGTTGCAGGTTGGAACTGAAAAGGTCTCTTAGCTTTCAAACGGGAGAGGTAAGCATTTAATCGTACTGTGTTGTGCAGTTCCCTCCTTACTATGACTGCAGATTTCAGAACCTCAAGATCTATGACTGGAGGAATCCAAGAAAAAATTTTCTATGATTTCCCTGTCTGGCACTTATGTCTAATTCATGGAATGTTGGTCATATTCATCCCTTTTCTGTCCAGTGGCATTACAGTTTACATAGTCTAGAATTCCCTTGTCAAGTCACGGAAAAGTTCAACAAATATTACTGATCCCTCTGTCCTTTTTCATTGAAAAGACCCCAGTTATGTGAATGGCATTTTATAAAATATATTTTAACCACCTAAATCTTCAGATTTCTGCTCTTAAGTACATAAGACATCTTAAATCTTACTGCCTCTCAAGATTTCTAATCTCATCTTAAAACTCGTTAACTCATATGCCCTTTTCTACCCATCTGTTCCTACACCAGGATTCTAAGAAATACAATGGAACAATTCACTATGAATAGCCCAGGACAACAGACAATATACTTTAATAATCGATATTTCTGATTTACCTAGCTGTTATCACTGACAATGTATGCTTAAAGGTTTCATTATTTGTTTTCTTTGCTGTCACAGGGATGAGTTTAAGAATATTTTCTTTAGGAAAGCACACAAAATTTTTATTTAACTATTTAAGGCAAGAGATAATTTTTAGTTTGTTTTCATAAGATTTGAGCATGAGGTGACAAATTAGCAAAAATCAATGTTACATAAAAAACACTTTTCTATTTATGGATAACTATAACTGAAATTTGGAAATTTAAGGAGAATTACAATTGCTAGTTTACTATAGAAAGAATCTTCAAGACAGAAACAAAAAAACACAAGACCTGCACAGAAAATGCTTCTGATAGTACTATAGGCATTACATATCAGATATCCATCCACAAAGTTGATGGCATTTGAATATACACTGCATGATGCAACAAATATCCATATTGGATTGTGAGACACAGGACTAAGTCAGTGGTTATGTGTAGGTAAAAATGATGAAATCATAGGGAAATAATGAGGAGGAAGAAAAATGTAGTAATCATCTCGTGATGATTATATTTTCATGAAATGCAAAAGATGGAATGCCTCTAAAACTAATCAGAATAAGACCTTTACCATTTTTATTACTTTAATTTTAAATAGTTTGATTCACATGTCAATGCCAGTTACCTCTCCCTTCCCTCCTCCAGAAACCCCAGTAATACCCCCAGCTTCCTATTCTATCTCCACTCCCTTCCATAAAGGGTATGTCCAGAGTCTGTCATTTCGCTCAGGGCAGGGTCCAGACACGCCCCTAAGAGTCCAGGCTGAGACATCATCCCTCTTTGCTTTATGGACACACTAAGAACATTTGCATGCCTGGGATAAATACTGATCTATGGCCCAGGGCTGATAGGTCTAACAGGCCTACATACTGATTCTCAAACTCAGGGGGTCTGGATCAGTCCCATGCTGGCCTCCCAGCTGTCGTCTGGGATCCAAGAGATCCCCCTTGTTAAGATCAGCTGTTGCTGCTGGCTTCGCCAACCCATTCTTTGCCAATTTGCTCATCACTCCTCTCTCTCTGCACTGGGTACCATTATTTCAGTTCAGTGTTTAACTGTGGATGCTTTTCTCTGCTACCATCAGTCATTGAATGAAGTTTCTAGTATGGCATATGAAGTAGATGTCAAGTTCATTATCAAGAATGGAAATTTAAGGTAGTCTTTTCACTATTGCTTAGCTTGCCAGTTGGTGTCATCCTTTTAGATCGCTACAGGTTTCACTGGTGCCAGATCCCTCTTCAAAACTCCCAATATTATCTTATTTCTCATCCTGTTTTCACCTTATTCTGCCCTGCCCTCAAAATTCCTGTTCCCCCAATACTTACTCTCTCCTCCTCTTCTCCCTCTTTCTCTTCTTCCCAGCTACCACTCCTCCCCACCTCCTGCCATGTTCCCAATCTGTTCAGGAAAGCCTGCCTCATTACTCTTCTCTTGGGTACCAAGCATGTGTACCTTAGGTTCTTTCCTGTTTCAGAGAATCTTTGTCAGTGTAATTGCAGACTGGCACTATCCTGATCCATATGTAAAATCCATATATGAGTAAGTACATACCATGTTATACTTTTTGTGACTGGGTTACCTCATTCAGCATGTTTTCTTCTAGTGTCATCCATTTGCCTGCAAATTTCAAGATTTCATTGTTTTTTATTCTGCTGAGGAGTATTCCATTGTGTAAATATACCATATTTTGTCTATCCATCCTTCAGTTGAGGGGCATCTAGGTTGTTTCTAGTTGTTGAAAAATGACAAATACTGGTGTTATGACCATAGTGGAACAAATGTCCTTGTTGTGTGAATGTGAATCTTTTGGATATATGCCTAAGTTTGCAATTCCTGGGTCTTGTGGTAGACTGATTCCCATTTTTCTGAGGAGTCTCCATACTGATTTCCAAAGTGGGTGTAGGAATTGACACTCCCACAAGCAATTGCAGTGTGTCCCCTCTCTTCTCATCCTCTCCAGCATATATTGTCTTCCATGTTTTTGAATTTAGCTATTCTGACAGGAGTAAGTTGATATATCAGACATGCTTTGATTTGCATTTACCTATTGGCTAACAATGTTGAGCACTTTCTCAAGGGTTTCTCAGCCATTCTAGACTCCACCATTGAGAATTCTCTATTTAGTTCTGTACACCACTTTTTAATTGCATCCTTTGGTGTTTTGAAGACTTGCTTCTTGAGTTCTTTAAAATTCTGGAGATCAGCCCTCTGTTAGATGTGGGTATAGTGAATATATTTTACCATACGCTGGACTGCCTTTTTGTCTTTCTGACTGTATCCTTTGCCTTACCTTTTGGACTAAAGTTTTATGCAAGGCGATAGACATGGATCTATATCCACTTATGCCAGTACATTTTGATGAACATGCTTTCTTTTTTCCATTGTGTAATTTTAGCTTATTTGTCAAGTATAGGTTTGTGGATTAATCTCAGGTTGTTCAATTCAATTGTGTTGGTCGACATGTCTTTTTTGTGCCAATACAAATCTGTTTTCAAGACTATAGCTCCGAAATAGAGCTTGCAGTTACAGATGTTCCTTTATTTTATAGGGCTGTTTAGGCTATCCTGGACCTATTTATCCTATTTCATTACAATAGCATTCTAGGTCACATAGAGTAGAATTCCTTTGTGAAGTCACTGATGTAGTCACCAAATATTATTGGTCATTCTGAGCTTCTTCATTGAAAAGACCCCAGCTGTGTGGATTGGCCTCTTGTAATATCCCATTTAACCATCTCAATCATAGATTTGATTTCCAAGGTAAACATGATATCTTAAGTGTTAAGGCCTCCAATGACTTCCTATCTCATCTTTGTTAATTCTCAGTTACCAGACTCACATTCCTACTCATCTGATCCTGTTCCTGAATTCAAAGGAATACAAGGGGACCTTTTCAGTATGAATATTCCTGAGAAGAGAAAAAAGTTTAATATTCAAAATTTTCTGATTTATATATCTGTGAACTCTCACAATGTTCTTTGAGAGTTTTCATGATTTATTTTCTATAACTGTTAAAGAGGTTACTCTAAGTATACTTTTTATAGAAAAACAATCAAAAACTGTACATAACCATTAAAGCATGATGTATATTTTACCACTAAACCCACATCTGACAAAAGGCTGGTCTTTGTTATCCTGGTAAGCAGCACAGTTTGTGACACTCTATCAAGTATAGCTACCCGTTCTGTGGATCGGGTATGTGACGACAAACCAAAGTCATGAAGAGAGTTGACGATATAAAATCCATGCTCAATAGGGTTATGCTGAGGCCCATGCTAAATGACACTGGAGAAATGGGGGCCTAGGCTACTTAGGCCTTTATCATAAGCCAGTGAACAGTCCCTCATTAACCCAGAAGTGGTTCACTGTCTGAGGATTCAAGAGAGGTCCAGGTGCTCTTATTTAGGAGAGCAAGAGTCCTGCCTCAGAAGGCACAAGTAGAGGCAATCCATGTATATCAATGCTGGCTGGCATCAGCACTCTGCTCATATCTATCTCTTCTGTTCTGTATTTCAATGATTGAGGATGTAGTCTTCTAACCCAGTCATTTCACCTTCAGGTAAGTGGAAAGTTCATGTTAAGTGCCTAGGTCTCTTTTGGATATCTGCCTTCAAACATTTGAAAGCATGATATTCTAGGAATGCAGTGATATTTAAGGCATACAACTTGGGCACTCCCTTCATTTTGGCAAACTCCTAGGCCTAACAACATGAGAAAAGTTTGGTAATTCATACTGCCTTATATTGTAGAATTCCAAGTAGTAGGTACTGGGAAACAAAGCAGGGACTGTTCGCGGATGTGGGACACAAAGATTGGGTCAGGACGTGCAGGAACTTTTCCTAGCATAGCTCATTGATAAGTGAATTTGATATTCACATCCCTGCCATGGGGTATCTATCTATCTCCCATACTGATTGTTACCGGTGGGGCAAGAGTTTCATGTTCTCACTGGGTCAGGAGGGTGACATGCTCCAAACTTGTATAGATGGTGCTAAAGAATGTCCAATATGCATGCCCTATACTTTTCTGGGGCTCATGAGGCAGACAACCAAGCACAGTAATCTAGTACAAAACTGTACCTATCAGTCAGACAAACACAGATACCTTTTCCTTATCCTAGAATTAGTGAACTGTACCTGCCATGCAGGCTTCAGCCTAATTGTGGAAATTAGATAGGGTGCATCTGGCCAGGCATTCCCCTCTTTGCTTAGATGAAAAGGCTCATCAATATGTTGAGACACACTCACCACACAGCAGTGGCAAGGTATTGGAAACACATGAATGACATCCCAAGCTGCAAAGGCTTCCATTGCATATGCCATAAGAAATGGACCAAGAGTGCAGGTGTAGGTATCCTCTCAGGTGGTGAAAGGCCAATAAAGAATCTTGTGAGTATGCATCTTACAATGGTGATTAGGCAGTGATGTCAGAATGAAATGTGATAGAGCTATGCAAAGAACTGCCCAAGAATGGATTTGGACTTAGAAGAAACTTTGTCTGATCAGAAAGTAAAATATTTTCAGTATACCTATACTATGCCTTCTAAATGGTCTGTCAGCTAATGCTGTGAATGCCAGCAGTGAGGATGAGGGTGAAACATTTGAAGGGTTAAACTTGTCTACCTGTACCAAACAGGTAACAAGCATTAAAATGTTTCCTTATTTCTTCCATGACTTTGATTAACAATTGCCTCCAACTACTGTGTAGAGCGTTTGTGTGTTCCCGAAGCTAGGCATTTCAATTTCTCTTACACTGACATGTCAATTTGGTGATGCTAAATTTTCCTTGACTAAAAGAACTGATTCTGATTGATCCCTTGCAGGAGGCTAATGCTGGCTGACCATTTGGCCCAAGCTAGCCGTGACTTTCCTTCTAGATGGCCTTTGTCATCCTGGTAAGCAGCACTGTTTGTGTCCCTCTATCAGGTATAGCTATGCCTTTTGAGGATGTGGGTATATGATGACAAACTAGTGACATGAATATAGGTGATGACATAAAAATCATGTTCAATAGGACTATGCTGAGTCCCAGGCAAAAGTACGGGGGAGAAATGGGGGCCTGGTCTACTTAGACCATTCTCATAGGCCAGTGCACAGGCCGTCATTCACCCAGGAGTGGTTCCCAGTCTGAGGAATCCTGTGAGGTCCAGTTGCTCTTCTGTAGGAGAGCGTGAGTCCTGCCTCAGAAGGCACTATTTGGGGCAATCTATGTATTACAATGCTGGCTGGCATCAGCACTCTGCTCATGTCCATCTCTTCTTTTCTGCATTTCAGTAATCCAGGATGCAGTCTCCTAACCCAGTCATTTCACCTTCAGGTAAGTGGATATTCTATGTTAAGTGCCTATTTCTGTTTTGGATATCTGTCATCACACATTAGAAAGCATGAACTTCTATGAATCCACTGACTTTTAAGACATAGAACTTGGGCTCTCCCTTCCTTTTTGGAATCCCCTAGGCCTAAGAGTATAAAAAATGATATTAATTCAACCTGCCTTGTCTTTTAGAATTCCAAGTAGTAGGTATTTAGTAACTGAGCAGTGAATGTTCGAGGATGTGGTTCACAAGGGATGTGTCAGGATGTTCAGGCCATTTTACTTGCACAGCTCATTGATAGTTGAATGTATTCTTCAAATACATTCCATACTGATTGTTACTGCTGGGGCAAAAGCTTCATGTTCTCACAGTGTCAGGAAGGTTTCATGCTCCAAACTTGATTGATGGTGCTCAGGAGTGTTACCTTTCTGGGGCTCAAAAGGGAGGCAGAGAATCACAGTGTTCTAGTGAACTAATGTACATATCAGTAAGGCAAACTCAGATACCTTTTTTGTTAGGTTTAGAGAACTTGTCCTGCCATGCAGGCATTAGGTAATGTGTGGTAATTTGACATTATATATCTGGCCAGGCATTCCACTCTTGCCTAGATGCACAGGCTCATCACCATGTGGAGACGCACTCACCACACATAAGTGGCATGAAATTTCAAACACATGAATGACATCCCAAGTTATAAAGGCCTCCATCCTTCATGTGATAAGGAATTAACCAAGAGGACAGCTAAAGGGATCCTATGCATGCAGTGCTTGGGCAATTAAGAAACTGGAGGTTATAAGTCCTATAATGGTGAGAAGTCAGTGATGTCAGAGAGAAATGCGATAGCGCTGTGAAGAGCAGATGAGATGTGTCTTGGACCTTGAAAGACACAGTGCATGATCAGATGGTAAAATTATTTCATCAGGACTATAATATGCCATTCCAATGGTCTGTCACCAAATGCAATGAATGCTGGCAGTGAGTATGAGGGTGAAACATTTTAAGGGTTAAACTTGGCTAGGGGTGGCAAACAGGTAACCTCAATTGAAATTTTATTATTATCTACCTCAAAGCAATGATTATCAATTCCCCCAATTATCATAATCCAGAATTTGGGCATTAGAATCCTGGGCATTGCAATTTTGCTGAAAGTGACTTGCAAATTTGGGACCCCCAAAATTTTCCTTGACTAAGACAACTAATTCTGCTTAATCTACTGCAGGAGCATAAAACCTGCTGCTATTTGTGCAAAACGTGATGATACCTGCCTTCTAGGTCTTTGTCATCCTGGTAAGCAGCACTGTTTGTGTCCTACTATCAGGTATAGCTATGCCTTCTGAGGACACGGGTATATGATGACAAACCAATGCCATGAAGAGAGGTGATGACGTCAAATTCATGCTCAGAAGGGATACGCTGAGGCCCAGGATAAATGACTGGGGAGAAATGGAGGCCTAGTCTCTTCAGGCCTTTCTCATAGGCCAGTGCACAGGCCCTCATTCACCCAGCAGTGTTTCCATCTCTGGAGAATCCTGTGAGGTCCAGGTGTTCTTATTTAGGAGAGCATGAGTCCTGCCTCAGAAGGCAATTGTTGGGGCAATCTATGTATGTCAATGCTGGCAGGCATCAGCACTCTGCTCATGTCCATCTCTTCTATTCCGCATTTCAGTGATCCAGGATGCAGACTTGGTGCCCCAGTCATTTCACCTTCAGTTAAGTGGAAAGGTCAGGTTGACTGCCTCGGTCTCTTTTGGATATCTGTCTTCAAATATTACAAAGCATGAACTTGTATGAATCCAGTGATACTTGCCGCACAAAACATGTGCTCTCTCTTCCTTTTGGGTATCCCGTAGGCCTATTCCCATGAGAAAAGGATGGTATTTCCAACTGTCTTTTCTTGTAGAATTCCAAATCATTGGTATGGGGAAACAGTGACTGTTTGGGGAAATGGGACACCAGTATTCGATCAGGTTGTACAGGCATTGTTACCTTGAAGTTTTTGGCTTGGGTTGTCTATCTAGCTCCCATGCTGATTGTTACTGCCAGGGCTAAAACTTTACCTTCTCCCAGTTTGAGGATGGTGATATGCTCCAAAAATGCAAAAACAGTGCTCAGGAATTTCCACTATTCAGGCCCTCAACAGCAGGAATTCACTAGGTTGATTTTCTCAGGCTGATAAAGCAAAGGGATTCTCACAGTGTTCTAGTGCACAATGTACATATCAGTAAGGCAAACTTAATTTAACTTTTCCTTTTGTGAGGTTTAGTGAACTTGACCTATCATGCAGTCATCAGGCCACATAAGGCTATTGGACAGGATGCAACTGGCCAGGCAATCCTCTCTTTGCCTAGATTTACGGGCTCATCACCATGGGGAGACGCACTCACCACAAATCAGTGGTATGGAATTTCGACCACATGAATGACATGCCAAGCCTCAAAGGCTTATGTTGCATTTATGATAAAGAATGGGCCAAGGGTACAGGTGTAGATATCCTTTGTAGGCATTACTTGGGAAATAAAAATCCTTTAAAGTACACTTCTTACAATGGGGATTAGGCAATGATGTCAGAGGGAAATATGATAGAGCTGTGAAAAGGACTGGAGATGAATGGCTTGGACCTTGTAAACACGGTGACTGATCAGAAGCTAAAATGTTTTCACCAGACCTATAATATGCCTTCCCAATGGTCTGTCAGCTGCTGCTATGAATGCAGAAAGTGAGGATGAGGGTGAAACAAGTGAAGGTTTAAACTTGTCTATGTGTAGCAAACAACCACTATTAAACTTTTCATTGTCTCTTTCACAACTTTGAATACCAATTTCCCGCAACTATCGTGTAGAGAGTTTGGGTATTCCGAAGCTGGGCATTGCTATTCCTTTGACAATGACCTGATATTTTGGAATCTCAGAATTTTCCTTGACTTAGAGAACTGAGTCTCCTTGATCCAATGCAGGAGCCAAATTCTGACTGATCATTTTGCCGAAGCTTGTGGACACCTAACTTCTAGATGGTCTTTGTCATCCTGGTAAGCAGCACTGTTGTGTCCCACTATCATGTCTAGCTGTGCCTTCTGAGGACGCGGGTCTATGATGACTAACCAATGTCATGAAGAGAGATGGTGACAGAAAATTCATGATCAATAGGATTATGCTGAGGCCCTGGCTAAAGGACAGGGGAGAAATGGGTGCTTAGTATCCTCAGGACATTCTCATAAGCCAGTGAACAGGACCTCATTCACCCAGGAGTGGTTCCCTGTCTGAGGAATCCTATGAGGTCCAGGTGCTCTTCTTTAGGTGATCATGAGTCCTGCCTCAGAAGGCACTAGTTTGGGCAATCTATGTATGTCAATGCTGGCTGGTATCAGCACTCTGCTCATGTCCATCTCTTCTCTTCTGCATTTGAGTGATCCAGGATGCAGACTTGGTTCCCCAGTCATTTCACCTTCAGGTAACTGGAAAGACCTGCTTAAGTGCCGAGGTATCTTTTGGATATCTGCCTTCAAATAATACAAAGCATGATCTTCTAGGAATCCAGTGATACTTGCAGCACAGAACATGTGCTTGCCCTTCATATTTTGAACTCCCTAGGCTTATCCCCATGAGAAAATCATTGTATATCAAAATTACTTTCTTGTAGAATTCCAAACACTAGGTATGGGGAAACAGAGCAGTGACTCTTAAGGGAAATGTGATACCATGATTGGTTCAGGATATACAGGCCTTGTGCCTTGCACAGCTCAGTGATAAGTAAATGTTATCTTGCAATTCCTGGCATGGGGTGTCTATCTAGCTCCCATGCTGATTGTTACTGCTGGGCCAAAAACTTCTTTTTCTCACTGTGTCAGGATAGTGATATGCTCCAATGTGGCAAAGGTGTTGCTCATGAATTTTCATGAAGCAGGCCTTCAACAGCAGGGAGTTAACTAGGTTGCTTTTCTCAGGCTCACAAAGAAAATGGATACTCACTGTGTTCTATTGCATAATGCACATATCAGTTAAGCAAACTTACATAATTTTTCTTTTTGTTAGGATTAGTGTAGTTGATTTGCCATGCAAGCACCAGGCCACATGAGACAATTCGACAGGTGCAACTGGTCAGGCATTCCACATTTTGCCTAGATGCACAGGTCTATCATCATGTGCAGACCGATTCACCACACATCAGTAGCTTGGAATTTCAACCACATGAATGACATCACAAGCTGCAAAGGTTTCCATTGTATATGTGATAAGGAATGGGTCCAGAGTACAGGTGTAGATATAGTAAGCGTGTGGTGCTTGTGAAATAAAGAACCTTGAGGTTACACATCTTACAATGTTGATTAGGCAGTGATATCAGAGGTATATGGGATATGGCTGTGCAAAGAACTGGAGATGAAGAGTCTTGGACCTTGTAATTCACAGTGACTTATCAGAAGCTAAAATATTTTCACCAGACCTATAATATGCCTTCCCAGTAATCAGTCAAATAATGCTATGAATGCATGCAGTGAGTATGAGGGTGAAATATTAGAAGGGTTAAACTTGTATACGGGTAGCAAACAAGTAACCAGAATTAAATTTTTTCATTATCTCTTTCATGACTTTGATTACCAATTGCACAAAACTATCATGCTACAGAGTTTGGGTTCCCAAAGTTGGGCATTGCAGTTCCTCTGACAATGTCTTCGTTTTTGGCCCTGCAGAATGTGCCTTGAACAATGGAACTGATTCTGGTTGATTCCATACATGAGCCTAATGCCGGCTGACCATTTGTCTGAAGCTCACGGAGACCCACGTTCTAGATGGTCTTTGTCATCCTGGTAAGTAGCACTGTTTGTGACCCACTATAATGTATAGCTGTGTTTTCTGAGGACCAGGGTCTATGATCACAAACCAATGTCATGAAGAGAGGTGATAACATAAAAATAATGCTTAATCGGATTATGCTGAGGGCCAGGCTAATGGAGAGGAGAGAAATGGCGGACTACTCTACTCAGGCCATTCTCATAGGCCAGTGCATAGGCACTCATTCTCCCAGGAATGGTTCCCTGTCTGAGGAATCTTGTGAGGGACCAGTGCTCTTCGTAAGGAGAGCACTGAGCCTGCCTTAGAAGGCAATTGTTGGGGCAATCTGTGTATGTCATTTCTGCCAGGCATCTACACTGTGCTTATTTCAATCTCTTCTCTTCTGTATTTCAGTGTTCAAGAATACCGATTTGGAGCCAGGGTCCTTTCACCTTGAAGAAAGTTGAAAGATAAGTTTAAGTACCTCTGTCTCTTTTGCATCTCTGCCTTCAAACATTAGAAAGCAAGACCTTCTAGGAATCCAGTGACACTTACGGCAAAGAACTTGTTCTGGAACTTACTTTTGGAATTCCCTAGTCAGAAGCCCATGAGAAAAGGATGGTAACTCAAACTGTCTTGTCTTTTTGGATTCCAAGTAGTAGCTGTTGGGAAACAGAGCAGTGATTCTTAAGGGAGGTAGGACACAAGGATTGGGTCAGGACTTTCAAGCCCTGTTCCTTACACAGATCAGTGATAGGTGAAAGTGATCTTCAAATCCCTGCCATTGGGTTGGGTGTCTATCTAGCTCTCATGTGGATCGTTAGAGATGGGGCAACGGCTTCAAGTTCTCCCTATGTCAGGAGCCAAATGCCGGCTAACCATTTGTCCGAAGCTCGCCAAGAACTACCTGACAGATGGTCTTTGTCATCCTGGTAAACAGCACTGTTTTTGGCCCACTATCAGGTATACCTATGTCCTTTGAGGATGCGGGTCTATGATGACAAACCAATGTCACAAAAGAGGTGATGACATAAAAATCATGCTCAATAGGATTACACTGAGGCCCAGGCAAATGGACTGCGGAGAAATGGGGGCCTAGTCTCCTCAGGCCATTCTCATAGACCAGTAAAAAAGGACCTCATTCACCCAGGTGTGTTTCCCTCTCTGGGGAATCCTGTGAGGTCCAAGTAATCTTCTTTAGGAAAGCACCGAGCCTGCCTCAGAAGACATTTGTTTGGGCAGTCTATTGTATGTCAATTCTGGCTGGCATCAACACTTTGCTTATGTCCATCTTTTCTTCTGCATTTCAGTGATGCAGGATGCAGACTTGGTGCCCCAGTCATTTCAACTTAAGGTAAGTGGAAAGACCAGCATAAGAGCCTAGGTCTGTTTTGGAAATCTGCCTTCAAATATTACCTGGCATGATCTTCTAGGAATCCAGTGAATCTTGTAGCACTTAACAGGTGTTCTCCCTTCATTTTGGGAATCCCCTAGGCCTATTACCATGAGGAAAGGATTGTATTTCAAACTGTCTTTTTTGTTGAATTTCAAATAGTAGGTAATGGGAAATAGAGCAGTGACTGTTTGGGGAAATGAACACCAGGATTGGGTCAGGATGTGCAGGCCATGTGCCTTGCACAGCTCCATGATAGGTAAATGTTACATTGAAATTCCTGGCTTGGTGTCTATCTAGCTCCCTTGCTGACTGTTTCTGCTGGGGCAAAAACTTCATGTTCTCGCTGTGTCAGGATGTTGATATACACCAAAATGATGCCGCCAATGAATTTCCAATATGCTGCCTCTCAACGGCAAGGAGATCACTAGGTTACTCCTCTCAGGCTCATAAAGCAAAGGAGAACTCACAGTGTTCTAGTGCACAAATGTACATATCAGTTAGGCAAACTCAGATATCTTTTTTTTGGTAGGATTAGTGAACTTGTCCAGCTATGCAGGCATATGGCCACATGAGGCAATTTGACAGGGTCTAACTGGACAAGCATTCCCCTCTTTGCTTAGATGCACAGGCTCGTCATCATAAGGAGACTCACTCAAAACACATCAGAGGTATGGAAATTCAACCACATGAATGACATCCCAAGCTCCAAAATTCCTTTGCTAATTTGATAAGGAATGTGCCAAGAAAATGTGTGTAGGCATCCTAAGCAGGCAGTGCTTGGGAAATTAAGAAATTTGATCGTACCCAACCTACTGTAGTGATTTGGCAGGTATAGTTATGCCCTCTTGGGATCTGGGTCTATGATGACATACTAATGTCCTGAAAAGTGCTGATAACATATAAATCAGCCTAAATAGGATAACACTGAAGCTCAGCCTATTGGACAATTGAGAAATGGGCCCATCTTCTCCTTGGGCCTTTTAATAGGCCAGAACATGGACCCTCATTCATGAGCAGAAGAATATGAGGACTAGGAAGGCGTCCTAAAGCTCACACTGCCCTCTGCTCTTTGCCCTCTGCCCTCTCTACCCTTGCCCTCACCCTCTCACCTCTCCCCTGAGAGGGGGAAGGTGTAAGCAGACTCTCTCAGCAGGCTCCAGATTGCTCATTCTTCCAAAAGCAATTCAAGCATGCTGCAGTTCCAGGAAATTTACTTTCTGTACTTCTTCACAAAATTGGAGAAATAAGAGCATCTCAGGAGACACATGATCACACAAATTAGCAAGAATAAATGTTACATAAAAACCTTTCCTATTTGGGGCTCCCTGCAAAAGAAATTTTGGAAATTCAGAGGACCCTTACAACATGGTAGTATAAAATATAGAGACAATATCCAGACAGAAACCAACAAACCACAAGGCCTGAACTAAAAATGCTTTGATATTACTGTTGACATTACCTATCAGATGTACATGCATGACAGTGATGGCACTGGAATGCACATTTCAGGATTTATATAAATTTGAGTGTTGCATGACAAAATGGACAGTCCATAATGACTGTGTGTCATAGGAGAAACCCAATAGTTATGTGAGGGAGATAAGGATAAAATGATAGTGGTGATTTGGAAGAGGAGGAAGATAAATATAGCAAACATCTCATGATGAAAATATTCTCATGAAATCCAAAAGATGGAATGCTTATTAAAATTATAGGGGATCACGGCAGAAGCCAAGCACCCCAGATCCCAGGTCTTCTCTTCCACCAACAAGACCAGGGGACTGGCTGCTCTGGAGGGACCAGGTAAAACAGGCCCTGAGGCCAGGACTGCATTTCAGTGCCTGAGGATTGCCTGGGAACTTCCAAAGAACTTCCCATCCCAGAAGGAGCCAAGCACCTCAGATGCCAGGATTTCTCTTCCAACCATGAGACCAGGAAACCAGCAGATCCAGGTAAACAAGGCCTTTTGTCATGTGTGTCACTTCCAGTGACTGGGTATGGCCACAGAGCTACCCTTCTCGACAGGAGCACCCCAGATCCCAAATCTTCTCTTCCACCAAATGGACCAGGAGACCAGGTGGGAGGCGAAGCACCTCAGATCCGTGGCCTTCTCCATCCACAGGACAAGAACTACGACAAGGAATAGAAGAACTACCAGAATTTTGGACTTGCTAGCACCCAGCAAAAGGGAATTTTGGTCCCATAACCATGAGACAAGTAAGGGGCTCTTTCTGCACCGAGTAGAAGAAGAGATGGGAAAGAGACAATACAAAAGCACACACAGCATCAGAAAAACACATATTATACTACCAGATTCTAGACACTCCACACCAGCAAGAATCCAACATTCCAATGCAAATGAAGCAGAAGAGAATGACCTTAGAAACAAATTCATGAAAAAGATAGAGGCCCTAGAAGAGGGTATAGGAAAAACTGCCAAAGAAATGGAAGAAAAAAACAAACCAAAAATGCAAGAATTGGAAGGAAAAAATGAAAAATTGAAGAAAAGGAAGAAAAACAAACAAAAAATGCAAGAAATGGAAGAAAATACAAACCAAAAATTCATAAAATGCAAAATAATGGATGAAAAGATAAACCGGAAGAAAAAAAAACACAACCAAAAAATGCATGAAATGGAAGAAAAAGCAAACAAAAAATGCTAGAAATGGAAGAAAAAGCAAATCAAAAAATGAAAGAAATGGAAGAAAATGCAAACAAAAAATGCAAGAAATGGAAGAAAAACAAACCAAGAAATTCATAAAATGTAACAAATGGATGAAACGATAAACTGAAAATTGCAAGAAACAATTCAAACAGTGCAAGGGGTGAAAACTGAAATGGAGACAAAAAACACAATCTGAAGAAGGGCTGGAAATAGAAAAGCCGGGCAAATGCTCAGGTACTACCAATACAAGCATTACCAACAGACTACAAAAGATGGAAGAGAGAATCTCAGGGGTTGAAGATACCCTAGGAGAATTAGATTCATCAGCCAAAGAAAATCTTAGTCCAACAAATCCCTAACGAAAAACATCCAGGAAATATGGGATACCGAGAAAAGAGCAAACCTAAGAATAATAGATATAGGAGAAAGTGAAGAAAACTACCTCAACGGGGCAGAAAACATATTCAACAAAATCATAGAAGAAAACTTTCACAACCTAAAAAAAGACATACCAATGAATGTGCAAGAAGCATACAGAACACCAAATAGAGTGGATCACAAAAAAGTCCCTTTGCCACATAATAATCAAGATGCCAAATATACAGAATAAAGAAAGTCTATTAAGAGCAGGTAAGGGAGCAGGCCAAGTAACATAAAAATGCAAACCTATCAAAATTACACCTGTCTTCTCCACGGAAACTCTGATAGCCAGAAGTTCCTGGATAGATATTCTACCAAAACTAAGAGACCATGAATGCCAGCCCAGACTACCATTCCCGGCAAAGCTCTCAGTCACTATAGATGAAGAAAACAAAATACTCCATGACAAAACTAGATTCATACAGTACATGTCCACTAACCCAGCCCTACACCACGTTTTGGAACAAAACCTCCAACCCAATGAAGATCACTAAAATCAGAAAAACATAAGCATTATATAATCCCTCTTTACCAGCACCAAAAGAAAAAGGGGATGGAATCCCACACATAATTCCACAAATTGCAACCATTCCAAATCAAGGGAGAATGGGCAATCACTGGTCATTAATATCCCTCAACATTCGTGGCCTTAATCCACCCATATAATGACACAGGCTAGCAGAATAGATTAGAAAATAAAACCCATCCTTCTGCTCAATATAAGGAACACACCTCACCCTAAAAGTCAGACATTACATGAGAGTTAAAGGTATGGAAAAAATTTTCCAATCAAATGGACCCAAGAAACAACCGGGATAACAATCCTAATATCTAACAAATTAGAAATTGAAATAAAATCAAACAAAAGGGATGAAGGAGGTCATTACATATCCATTACAGGCGAAATCCCCCAAGATGAAGTGTCTATCCTGAATATCTGTGCCCCAAATATAAAGGTATCCACATTCATAAAAGTAGCATTACTAAAATTATATCACATATAAAACCCCTAACACTTATAGTGGGAGACTTCAACACCCCACTCTCACCACTAGACAGGAATACCAGACAGAAATTCAACAAAGAAGCAAAGGATCTAATAGAAATAATGACCCTATTGGGATTAACAGACATCTATAGAATGTCCGTCCACAAAAAAAGAATATACCTTCTTCTCAACACCACATGGAACCGTATCAAAAATTGACCACATACTGGGCAACATATCAAACTTCAGCAGCTAAAATAATTGGAATAACTCCATGCATCTTATAAGACCACCACACATTAAAATTAAGATTCAACAACAACACAAATTGTAGAAATCCTACAAACTCATGAAAATTGAATAATGCACAACTCCAACATTCTTGGGTCAAAGAAGAAATAAAAATGAAGTGAAAGACTTGAGAGAATGCAATGAGAATGAAGACACAGCATACTCAAACCGATGGGACAATTTGAAAGCAGTGCTAATGGGGAAGTTAATAGCTCTAAGTGCCCACATGAAGACACTGGAGATTTGTTATACTAGAGAATTTACTACACAGCTGAAAGCTCTAGAACACAAAGAAGCAAACTCTCCCAGGAGGAGTAGACACCAGGAAATAATCAAATTGAGGGCTGAAATCAATAAAGTACGAACTAAGAAAACAATACAAAGAGTCAATGCCACCAAGAGTTGGTTCTTTGAGAAAATCAACAAGATAGACAAACCTATGTCCAAACTTACCAAACAGCAGAGCTTGAACATACAAATTAACAAAATCAGAAATTAAAAGGGGGACATAACAATGGACTCTGAGGATATTCAGAGAATCATCAAGTCATATTTTGAAAACCTGTACTCCACAAAATTTGAAAATTTAAAGGAAATGGATGACTTCCTGAATAGCTATCACTTGCCAAAATTAAATCAAGAACAGATAAGCAATTTAGTTAGACCTATAATGAATATGGAAATAGAAGCAATCATGAAAATTCTCCAAACCAAAAAAAAAGCCCAGGTCCAGATGGCCTCAGTGCAGAATTCTACCACAAATTCAAAGAAAAACATATGCCAATTTTATTCAAAGTATTCCATGCAATAGAAGCAGAAGGGTCTTTGCCAAACTCTTCCTACAAGGTTTCAATAACCTTATTCCCCAAGACACAAAGACACAACTGAGAAAAAGAACTTCAGACCATTATCCCTCATGAACATTGATGCAAAAATACTCAATAAAATACTGCAAATCGGATACAAGAATACATCAAAACAATCATTCACCACAATCAAGTAGGTTTCATCCCATTGATGCAGGGATAGTTCAACATATGAAAATCCATCAGTGTAATCCACCATATAAAAAATCTTAAAAACCAAAATTGCATGATAGTCTCACTAGATGCATAAGAGGCCTTTGACGAAATCCAACACCCTTTGATGATAAAGGTCTTGGAGAGATCTGGGATAACAGGAACATACGTAAACATAATGAAAGCTATGTACAGCAAATGAACAGACAACATCAAGCTAAATGGACAGAAACTCAATTCAATTCTGCTGAAATCAGGAACAAGACAAGGCTGGCCACTCTCTCCATAGCTTTTCAATACTGTATTTGAAGTTCTAGCCAGAGGCATACAACAACAAAAGGAGATCAAGGGGATACAAATTGGAAAGGAATAGGTCAAACTTTCATTATTTGCAGATGATATGATAGTTTACATAAATGACTCAAAGAACTCTACCAGAGAACACTTACAGCTGATTAACACCTTCAGCAAAGTGGCAGGCTACAAGATCCACTCAAGAAAATTAGTAGTCCAAATGGATCAAAGACCTCAACATAAATCCAGCCACACTGAACCTCTTAGAAGAGAAAGTGGGAGGTACCCTTGAAAGAATTGGTACAGGAGACAGCTTCCTGAACATAACACCAGTATCACAGACAGTGAGACAAGCAATTAATAAGTGGGACCTCATGATACTAAGAAGCTTCTGCAAGGCACAGGACACAGTCAGCAAAACAAAAATGCAGCCCACAGAATGGGTAAAAATATTGACTAACCCCACATCTGACAGTGGGCTGTTCTCCAAAATACCAAAGGATCCAATTAAAAAGTTGGCTACAGAAAAAAACAGAGAATTTTCAATAGAGAATTCTAAAATGCCTGAGAGGCACTTGAGAAATTTCTCAACATCCTTAGCCATCCGGGAAATGCAAATCAAAACAACTCTGAGATACCAACTCATTCCTGTAAGAATGTCTAAAATCCAAATGACCAATGACAATTTATCCTGGAGAGGATGTGGTGAAAGGGGAACACTTCTCCACTGCTGTTTGGAATGCTGACTCATACAGCCACTTTGGAAATTAGTATGGAGATTCCTCAGAAAAATGAGAATAAAGCTACCACAAGACCCAGCAACTCCACTCTTAGTCATATATCCAAAAAATGCCCATTCATACAATAAGAATGTCTGTTACACTATTTACATAGCAGCATTATTTGTAATAGCCAGAAAACTTGGAAGCAAACTAGATGCCCCTCAACCGAAGAGTGGATAGAGAAACTGTGGTACAATTACACAATGGAGTACTATTCAGCAAAAAAAAACTATGGAATCCTGAAATTTGCTGTCAAATATATGGCCCTAGAAGAAACTATCCTGAGTGAGGTAACCCAGGCACAAAAAGAGAAAAATGACCTGAACGCTCTCATATATGGATTTTAGACATAGATCTGGGGAGTGCCAGCCTACAATCCCATGACCACAGAGTCTTTGAAAAAGAACCTTCATTCAGTGGCTGATGGAAGCAGAGGCAGAATCCCATGGCTAAGCACTGAGATGAACTCAAGAAAGCCAGTGACAGAGAGGGAGGACTGATGAACAGAGGAGTTAAGACTGGGCTGGTTTAACCCCCAGAAACAGCTGACCTGACAAGGTTTAGCTCTTGAATCCCAGACTGTTGCCTGGGAATCCAGCATGGAACTGATTAAGACCCCCTGAATGAGGGAGTCAGTGAGGAGGCATAGGTAATCTATTGAGCCTTGGGTGGTAGATCAGTATTTATCCCGGGTATACAAATGGACTTTGGACTCCCATCCAACAATGAGAGATGCACTCTCACCCTGAATATTTGAGAGAGGGTCTAGGCACTGCCCTGGATGAAATGACAGACTATGGACATCCATGTGGAGGGCCTCACCCTCCCTGGGGAAATGAGGAGATATTGGAGGGGTTGGTGTTAGGGCACAGGAGGAGGGGAGGGAAATGGAGAGGGACCTGGAATTGACATGTGAAGCCACATTGCTTCTAATGTAAATTAAATATAAAAAAGTATATTTTTATATTTTATAAAGGCAGTGTTTGCTCATGACTTTAATCTCAGCAGAGGCAGAGGCAGTCCGATCTCTGTGAGTTGGAGTCCAACGTGGTCTACAGAGCAAGTTCCAGGACAGCTTCCAAAAAATACAGATTAACCCTGTCTCAAAAAAATGAATAAATAAAATGAGAATAATTAAACAAAAAATATATACGTACTGGTAGAAAGTTCGCCTATTTAACATTCCTTGTGATAACAACTTCCACTGAAATCTCTGTACTGGCTGAGAATTGTAATAGTTAGGTACTGTGAAGGCAAAATTTTCTCTGTGTTTCTCTTGTAATGGTATAATGAAGAAGCAATATTTTCAATCTGTAACTACAATTGGCCAATCCTTAGGTATTAAAGAAGGTAGTTGCAACCCAGTTTGTTGAGAGGCCATAGGTTGAATTACCTGGTTGATAGCTTTCAGGTAAGTAACCAGCTTCCAATTCCAAGACTTCTTTTTAATAGCAAATACAGTTGAATTCCTTTGAATATTTGATGCTTCTGTATGTCCATCATTTATCTGTACCTGAACTAAATTTTCCAAAGCCTCTAACTTCTCAGAGGTCATAGGCAATTGACCTACCCAGACAGGTTCATCTGTTAGCCATTTTAAGGGTAGAAATTTGGTTCCTCTATAGGTTTTACACTAGCATACTGTTTCTGTACAGCCTGTATGTTTGACATGTGTTTTCTGTGCCTTACAATATTTTTTCTACCACTAAGAGCTTGTCTAAGATTCATGTCTGATACAGGAGGAATGTTAATCTGTATATTCCATTGCTGTAATAGAAGAAGAATATCTTACTATCATGGTAACACATGGAGTATAATGTACTGTTTTGTTACATGAGGTCCATGTAACAAGAACAGTTTTTGACACACAAATTGGGAAGAATGACTTTCATGGGTTTTTTAACATCTGTATTTAATGAGGAGCACATTGCACTCAGACATCTTATAGGTTGCAAAAAGATAAAATCCTGACTTGCACAAAACACGTCACTCAGATCCGTGCCTCATGAGAACACAGAATGGTAAGGAGTTGCCCAGAGAAATTACAGACAGAAACAGATGCACTCAGTTATTTTCAAGTGTAAAGCTAATTAACTACAAACCCTATACTAAAAATCAATGAGAACAATAAAAATGAAGATGAACAAACCTTTATGTTTTGCTGAGATACCATAAATGGAAGTCTTTAGGAGTGCTGACATGTGTTGAATGAATACATGTACATATAAATGTTTAATGAAAAGGAAACTGAATAGAGAAATTTGTCCTAATGTAGTGCTAATGTACAGAGTTCTCACACAGAAACCATCAAGGGAATTCAAGGCTGCTGTGCACTTCACATGTTCTTATAGAAAAGGCCTTCCTTTCAGAGAAAAGAAGCATACCCTCTCACTTACAAATGCCATGGCCAAATATGTTGGAAATCATCTACAATAGGAAGGGCATCTAGAACACTGTTGATGTGCAAGGCTACAGCACCACCCCAAGGAATAAACCCTGTGATGATACACACCAAAGAACTAGTCCCTTTCATGAGTTATCTTAATATTGACATAAAAATCATAAAGAACATCTGACATCCTTTCTCCTAATACATTCTCAATATAATCTTATAGACAGTTATACAAGAAATCACAACAAACACAACTTTGTTATAGAAGCCATATCCTGTCTGTGTTTGAGGACCACTTCGTATAGCAGTTCAGGTTAGAAATAGCAGTCAGGACACAATTAGATACGTGAATTTTTTATTTCTAATTTGTTGCAGGTGGGAATTTCAAAGGCCTCTTAATTTCAGGCGGGAGATGAGCATTGAATCATCCTCTGTTGTGCAGTTCCCTTGTTACTATGCCTGGAGATTTCAGAACCTTGAGATCTATGAATTGAGGGGTCCAAGAAATGGTTATTCTACGATTCCCCTGTCTTGGTACTTATGTTTTGATTCATGGAATGTTGACCACATTCATCCCCTTTCAGTCCATTGGCATTCCATATCACACAGTCTAGAATTCCCTTGTCAAGTCACCGAAAAGTTCAACAAATATTACTGACCCATCTGTTCTTTTTCATTGAAAAGACCATATTTATGTGAATGGTATTTTGTAAAATATATTTTAACCACCTAAATCTTCAGATTTCTGTTCTTAAGTAAATAAGACATCTTAAATCTTACTGCCTCTCATTATTTCCTATCTCATATACTTAAAACTCGGTACCTCATATGCCAATTTCTATGCATCTGTTCCTTCACCAGAATTCTGAGTAATACAATGGAATAATTCGATATAAATAGCCCAGGACAACAGACAATACATTTTAATAATCGACATTTCTTATTTAACTCCCTGTTAACTCTGACAATGTACTCTTAGAGTTTTCACTATTTATTTTCTTTGCTGTCACAGGAATGACTTTAAGAATATTTCCTATAGGAAAGCACACAAAATTTGTATTTAACTATTTAAGGCATGAGATAATTTTTACTGTTCTTTTTCACAATATTGGAGCATAAGGTGACCCTCATGAGACTCATGATCAGACAAATTAGCAAGAATTAGTGTTACATAAAAAATCTTTTCTTTCGGGATACCTATAACTGAAATTTAGAAAGTTAAGGAGAATTACAAAGTGGTAGTTTACCATAGAGAGAATCATCAAGACATAAACACAATAACCAAAAGACCTGCACTGAAAATGCTTCTGATAGTACTGTAGGCATTACATACCAGATACACATCCATGAAGTTGATGGCATTTGAATATACACTGCATTATACAACAAAGATTTGACTGTTATTGACAAAATGGAAAATCCTTACTGGATTGTGAGACACAGCACAAAGTCTGTGATTATGTGTAGGAGAAGATGATGAAATCATAGGGAAATAAAGAGGATGAGGAATAAAATGTAGTAAGCATCTCGTGATGATTATATCCTCATGAAATCCAAAAGATGGAATGCCTCTAAAATTAATCAGAGGATGACATTTGCCATTTTTATTACTTTAATTTTACATAACATTCTTCTAAAGTCAATGCCAGTTCCCTCTCTCTTCCCTCATTGAGCAACACCAAAAATACCCTCAGCCCCCCATGCTATACCCACTCCCTTCCACAAAGTGTGTTTCCAGAATCTGTCATTTCGCTCAGGGATGGGTCCAGACAATCGCCTAAGAATGAAGGCTGAGACATCATCCCTGTTTGTGTAATGGACACACTAAGTACATTTATATGCCTGGGATGTATACTGATCTGTGCCCCAGGGACAATAGTTTCAACAGGGTTAGAGTTAGGGTTAGGGTTCTCTTCTTCCCAGCTACCACTCCTCCCCACCTCCTGCCATGTTCCCAATCGGTTCAGGAAATACTGCCTCATTCCTCTTCTCTTGGGTATCAAGCATGTATACTTTAGGTTCTTTCCTGTTTCACAGAACCTCTGTCAGTGGAATTGCAGACTGGCACTATCCTGTTCCATATATAATATCCATATGTGAGTGAGTGCATACCATTTAGTATTTTTGTTACTGGGTTAACCCATTCAGCATGTTTTCTTCTAGTGTCATCCACTTGCCTGCAAATTTCAAGATTCCATTGTTTTTTTCTGCTGAGTAGTACTCCATTTTGTAAATGTACCATACTTTCTCTATCCATTCTTCAGTTGAGGGGCATCTAGGTTGTTTCCAGGTTCTGGCAATTACAAATACTGCTGTTATTAACATAGTGGAAGAGATGTCCTTGTTGTATGAATTTGAATCTTGCGGATTTATGCCTAAGAATGGAATTCCTGGGTCTTGTGATAGACAGATTCCCATTTTCCTGAGGAATCTCCATACTGATTTCCAAAGTGGGTGTATGAGTTGTCACTCGCACTAGGAGTGGCAGAGTGTTCCCATCTCTTTGCATCCTCTCCATCATAGTCTTTCGTGTGTTTTTGATTTTAGCTATTCTAACAGGAGTAAGATGATACATCAGACATGCTTTGATTTTCATTTACCTATTGGCTAAGGATGTTGAACACTTTCTCAATTGTCTCTCAGTCATTCTAGACTCCACTATTGAGAATTGTTTATTTAGAGCTGTACCCCATTTTGAATTGCATCTTTGGTGTTTTGCAGACTTGCTTCTTGAGTTCATTTAAATTTTGGAGATCAGCCTTCTGTCAGATGTGGGTTTAGCGAATATCTTTTACCATTCTGTGGACTGCCTTTTTGTCTTGCTGACTGTGTGCTTTGCCTTACAGAAGCTTCTTAGTTTCAGGAGGCTCCACTTGTTAATTGTTGAAATCAGTGTCTGTGCTATTGGTGTTATATTCAGGATGCAGTCTCCTGTACCAATTCGTTGAAAAGTGTCTCCCAATTACTCTTCTAATGGTTTTGGTGTGTTTGTATTTAGATTGAAGTCTTTGATCCATTTGGACCAAAGTTTTGTGCAAGGCAATAGACATGGATCTATCTACAGTCTTCTGCATGCCTATATCCACTTAAGCCAGTGCAATTGTTGAAGACACTTTCTTTTTTCCATTGTGTAGTTTTAGCTTTTTTATCAAAAATTAGTGTTCAAAAGCTTGTTGATTAATCTTAGGGTGTCCAATTCGATTCCATTTGTCGTCAAGTCTATTTTTGTGCCAATACAAATCTGTTTTCAAGACTATAGCTCTGTAATAGAGCTTGAAGTTAGATATGGTGAGGCCTCATGAAGTTCCTCTTTTTATAGGGTTATTTAGGTTATCCTGGAACTATTTATTTCTTTTCATTACTATAGCATTCTAGGTAACATAGATTGGAATTCCCATGTGAAGTCACAAATGTAGTCACCAAATATTATTAGTCATTCTGTACTTCTTCATTGAAAGGACCCCAGCTGTGTTGAATGGCATCTTGTAATATCTCTTTTAACCATCTCAATCATAGCCTTTCATTTCAAAGGTAAACATGCTATCTTAAATGTTAATGCCTCCAATGATCTCCTATCTCATCATTGTTAATTCTTAGGTACCAGACTCCCATTCCTACTCATCTGATCCTGTTCCTGAATTCAAAGGAATACAAGGGGAGCCATTCGGTATGAATATTCCTGAGAAACTGAGAAAAAAGTATAATATTCAAAATTTTCTGATTTATATATTTGTGAACTCTTACAATGTTCTCTGAGTGTACATGATTTATATTCTATACCTGTTAAACAGGTTACTCTAAGAATACTTGTTATAGAAAAGCAATTAAAACCTGTACTTAACATTTAAAGCATGATGAAACTTTTACCATTAAACCGACGTCCCACAGAAGTTTGCTCTTTGTAATACTGGTATGCAGCACAGTTTGTGACACACAATCAAGTATAGCTATACCTTCTGTGGATTGGGTCTATGATAAAAAACCAATGTCATGAGAAGAGCTGATGACATAAAAATCATGCTCAATAGGATTATGCTGAGACACAGGCTAAAAGACAGAAGAGAAATGGGGGCCTAGATTCATCATGCCGTTCTCATCCACCAGTACACAGATCTTCATTCACCCAGGAGAGGGTCCTTGACTGGGGAATCCTGTAAGGAACAGGTGATCTTCTTTGGGAGAGCAATGAGCCTGCCTCAGATGGCACCTGTTGGGGCTCTCTATTTATGTCAATGCTGACAAACATCAGCACTCTGCACATGTCCATCTATTCTCTTCTGTATTTCAGTGATGCAGAATGGATATTTGTTGCCCCAGTCATTTAATCTTCGGGTAAGTGGAAAGACAATGTTACATGCCTCAGTCTCTTTTAGATGTCTGGCTTCAAACATCAGAAAGCATGACCTTCTAGGAATCTAGTGACAATTAAGGCACAGAAATTGTGCTCTACCTTCCTTTTGGGAATCTCCTAGTCTAGGCCCATGAGAAAATGATGTTAATTCAAACTGTCTTGTCTTTTAGAATTCGAAGTAGTAGGTGTTGTCACACAGAGCAGTGACTGTTGTGGGTGGTGGGACACAAGGTTTGGGGTCAGGACATTCAAACCTGGTACCTTGCATAGCTCAGTGATAGGTGAAATTGAATATGAAAAACCTGCCTTGGTGTGTCTATCTCACTCCCATGTTGTTCATTATAGATGAGGCAATGGCTACATGTTCTGCCTGTGTGAGGAGGGGGACATACTCCAAAATTCCAAACATTGTCCTCATGCATGTTCACTATCCAGTCTCTCATCTGCAGGAAGATCACTAGGTTACTTTTCTGCGCTCATAAAACAGAGACTCACAGTGTTCTAGTGCACAAATGTATGTATCAGTTAGGAAAACTCAGACATCTTTTATTTTCTTTAGGATTAGAAAACTTACTCTGCCATTCTGGAATCAGGCAACATCAGGCAATTCGAAAGGGCATTTCCCTCTTTGCTAGATGCACAGGCTCATCAACAAGTGGAGACCCACTCAACACACATTAGTTGAATTGAATTTCAACCATATGAATGACATCCAAAGTAGCAAAAAATTGCTTTGCTCATGTGATGAGGAATACGTGAAGAGAACGTGTGTAGGCATCCAAAACAGGCATTACTTGGACAAATAAGAATTTCAAACATACCCAGTTACTTTGGTGATTAGGAAGTGATTTCCCAGGGAAATGGGATAGAGATCTGCAAGGAACAACAAATAACAGGTTGGAACTTATATGGCACAGTGCATGATCAGATGCTAAAAATTTTTCAGCATACCTATAATACGCCTTCATAATATTCTGTCATCTAAAGGGATGAATTCAAGAAGTGATGATGAGGTTGAAACAAGTGAAGTGTTAAATGTGGCTAGGTGTGGCAAGCAGGTAACAACCATGAAAAATTTTCATTAACTCTTATATGGCTTTGATTAGCAATTGACCCAATTATCATGCTTGAGTGTTTGTGCTTTCTGAAGATGGGCGTTACAATACCAATGTAACAGATATGACATTTGGCACTCCAAAAGTTTCCTGACTAAGAGAACTTATTATGCTTGATACCATGCAGGAGACAAATGCCAGCTGATCATTTTTCTGAAGCTCACAGAGACCTACCTTCTAGATGGTCTTGGCCTTCCTGGTAAGCAGCATTGTGTGTGACCCACTTCTGAACACCTGGCTATATGATGAAAAACCAATGTCATGAAGAGAGGTGATGACATAAAAATGATGCTCAATAGCATTACGCTGAAGACCAAGCTAAAGGAAAAGTGAGAAACGGAGACCTAATCTCCTCAGGACATTCTCATAGGCCAATGCACAGGCCCTCATTCACCCAGCAGTGTTTCCCTCTCTTAGGAATCCAGTGAGGTCAAGTTGCTTTTGTTTAGAGGAGCACTGAACCTCTGTCAGCATGAATTTGTGCCACTCTTCATGTGTCAAGGAAGGCAGGAATCAATACTCTGCTCATGTCCATCTCTTTTCTTCTGCATTTCAGTGATCCCAGATGCCGATATGGTACCCAAATAATGAGACATTCAAGTAAGTGGAAAGATCAGCATAAGTGGCTGGGTCTATCCTGGATATGTGCATTCAAAAATTGAAATTCATGAATTTCTATGAATACAAAGAAACTTGCAGCACAAAACTTGTGCTCTCCCTTCATTTTGGGACTCACCTAACCATAAACACATGAGACCAGGATGCTAATTGAAACTGAAAGTCTTGTGGAATTCCATATCCTAGGTATTGAGAAACACATCACTACCTGGATTGGGATGTGGGTCAAAATACTTAGGTCAGGATGTTCAGGGCTTCTCCCTGTACAGTTCAGTGATAAGTGATTGTGATCTTCAAATCCCTGTCTGCCTTGGGGTGTCAATTGAATTTCCATGCTGTTTGTTCCTGCCGGGACAGAGCTTCATGTTCTTGCTGTGTCAGGAGTGTGACATGCTCCAAACTTGCAAAGATGACACTTAAGAATGTCCAACTTGCAGGCCCTCAACTGCAAGGAGAAAAATTGGCTACTTCTCTAGGGCTCATAAGGCAGATGAATGTGTTATATTGCACAAATGTACATATAAGTTAGGCAAATTCAAATATCTTTTCTTTCATAAGTATTAGTGAACATGTCCTGCCATGCAGGCATCAGGCCACATGAGGCAATAAGACAGGATGTATCTAGCCAGGCATTCCACATTTGCCTAGGTTCTCAGGATCATCATCATGTGGAGACCCACTCTCAACACAAAAGTAGCATGGAATTTCAACCACAAAAAGGACATTCCCAGCTGCAAAGGCTTGTGTTGCATATGTGATAAGAAATGGACCAAGAGTATAGGATTCAGTAAACTAAGCACACAATAAATGGGCTATAAAGAACCTTAAGTGTACACATCTTACAATGGGATTGGGCAGTGATGTCTGAAGGAAATTTGTTAGAGCTGTGCAAAGAACAGGAGATGAGTGGTGTTGGACCTTGTAAAACGCAGTGCCTGATTAGAAGCTAAAATGTTTTCAGCAGACCTATAATATGCCTACACAATGTTCTGTCTGCTAATGCTATGAATGCAGTCAGTGAGGATGAGGGTGAAACATTTGAAGGGTTAAACTTGTCTACAGGTAGCACACAGGTAACAGATATTAAAATTTTACATTATCTCTTCCAAGACTTTGATTAACAATTGCCCCCAACTATCATGTAGCAAGTTTAGGTGGGGCGAGTCCAGCTTCAGGTGAGATTGGGTCTCCAGCGGGGATCCTCCACCCAACACCCATCCCCTTGATCTTCTGGGGCCAATCCTGGCATCCAGAAGACCAGCCCACACAGGAAAGACATCAGCCCTTCCAAGCCCCTAACCCCAGGGAGCTCAGCTTCAGGAAAGACATCAACTCTTCCAGGCCCCAAACTCCACTTCAGCTTCAGGAAGGAAGGAAACCAGTGGAGACAGAAAGACCTCACCAGCACCCACTGGAAGAAGAGATGGGAAGAAGACAGAATAAGAGCTCACTCAGAAATAGAAAGACCAACATGACCCCACCAGAATCTAGGAATCCAACACCAGCAAGAACCGAATAGCATTACATAGACGAAGCAGAGGAGACAGACCCTAAAAATTATTTCATAAAGATGATGGAGACCTTCAAAGAAGAAATGAGGAAATCCCTTAAAGAAATAGAAGAAAAAACAAACAAAAAATCCATGAAATGGGGGAAAATTCAAGAAATAAACAAATCTCTCAAAGAATCTAAAGAGCACCAAGAAAAAACAACCAAAAAATGAAGGAAACAACTCAAACAGTAGAAGGATGAAAGCTGAAATAGAAACGATAAAGAAAACACAGAACAAAGGGATGCTGGAAATAGAAAAGCTGGGTAAATGATCAGGAACTACAAATGCAAGTATCACATATAGAATACAAGAGATAGAAGAGAGAATCTCAGGTGTTGAAGACTCATTAGAGGATATAGAGTCGTCAACCAAAGAAAATCTTAAAACCAACAAATCCTTAACACAAAATATACAGGAAACATGGGACACTGTGAAGAAGCCAAAACTGAGAATAATAGGTATAGAAGAAGATGAAGAAATACAACTCAAAGGTACAGAAAACATATTCAACAAAATCATAGAAGAAAACTTCCCTAACCTAAAGAAAGATATGCCTATGAAAGTACAAGAATCTTACAAAACACCAAATAGGCTGGACCAGAAAAAGAAGTCACCTCACCATATAATAATCAAAACATCAAACCTACAGAGTAAAGAGAAAATATTAAGAGCAGCTAAAGAAAAAGGCCAAGAAACATACAAAGGCAGACCTATCCGAAGTACACTTGACTTCTCAATGAAAACAATGAAAGCCAGAAGATCCTGGACAGATGTCCTATAAACACTAATCGAACAAGGATGCCAGCCCAGACTACTATATCCAGCAAAGCTCTCAATTACCATAGATGGGGAAAACAAAATATTCCATGACAAATCCAGATTTAAACAATACGTATCCATGAATCCAGCTCTACAGAAAGTGCTAGAAGGAAAACCTAGATCCAAGGAAGATAACTACATTCACAAAGACACAGGCAATATATATTCTCACTTTACAACACACCAAAAGAAAAAAGGAGGGGGAAACTACACAAAATAACTTCACTAACAATTAATCAAGCCCAAAAATAATCATCAATCTATTGAGCCTTGGGCAGCAGATCAGTACCAATCCCAAGTATACACACGGACTTTGGACTCCCTTAGAACAATGTGAGGTGCACTATCACCCTGAACTCTTGGGGAAGGGTCTAGGCCCTGCCCTATATGAAATGACAGACTATGGACACCCCCATGGAGGGCCTCACCCTCCCTGGGGGAATGAGGGGATAACGGGGGGGGGTGTTGGGGGGGAGGTCACGGGAGGAGGGGAGGGAAAGGGAGAGGGACCTGGAACTGACTTGTGAAGCAACCTTGTTTCTTATCTAAATTTAAACTGGAAAATAAAATATAAATAAAATAAATGAAATAAAATATTTACATATTTATAAGAAAAAAATATCCCTCAGTGTCAATGGCCTCATCTTGCCTATAAAAAGACACAGACTAGCAGAATGGATATGAAGACAGAATCCTTCCTTCTGCTGCATACAAGAAACACATCTCAACATCAAAGGCAGACGTTATCTCACAGTAAAGGGTTGGGAATAGGTCTTCCAATCAAACAGTCCCAAGAAACAAGCAGGTGTAGCAATCCTAATATCTAACAAACTAGACTTCAAATTAAAATCAATCAAAAGAGATGAAGAAAGACACTTCATATTCATCAAAGGAAAAGTACATTAAGTGAAGTCTCAATTTTAAACATCTATGCCCCAAATACAAAGGCACATACATTCATGAAAGAAAATTACTAAAGCTCAAAATGCACATAAAATCTCACACACTAATAGTAGAAGACTTCAACACTCCACTCTCACCGTTAGACAGGACCTCCAGACAGAAACTTAACAAAGAATCAAAAGAACAAATAGAAGTTATGACCCAACAGGGTTTAACAGACATCTATAGAACATTCCACCCAAATTCAAAGGGATATACCTTCTTCTCGGCACCACATGGAACCTTCTCTAAAATTGACCACATAATAGGAAACATAGCAAATCTCCACAGATACAAAAAATTGGAATAACCCCCTGTATCTTATCAGACCACCATGCATTAACATTAGAATTCAACAATAACACAAATCGCAGAAACCCTAATACTCGTGGAGATTGAACAATGCACAATTGCACCATCCCTGGGTAAAGGAAGAAATTAAAGACTTCCTCGATTTCAGTGAGAATGAAGACACAACATATAAAAATTTATGGGACACTTTGAAAGCAATGCTGAGAGGAAAGTTTATAGCACTAAGTGCCCACATGAAAAAACTGGAGAAGAGTCATACTAGAGAATTAATAGCACAGCTGAATGTTCTAGAACAAAAGGAAGTAAACTCACCCAGGAGGAGCAGATGCCAGGAAATAATCAAATTGAGGGCAGAAATCAATCAAGTAGAAACCAGGAAAACACTGAGAAGAATCAATGAAACAAAGAGTTGGTTCTCTGAGAAAATCAACAAAATAGACAAACCTCTGACCAAACTAACCAAAAGAGAGAGAGAGAGAGCATGCTAATTAACAAAATCAGGAATGAAAAAGGGGACATAACAATGGACTCTGAGGAAATCCAGAGAATCATCAGGGCATACTTTGAAAATCTGTACTCCACAAAATTTGAAAATTTAAAGGAAATGGACAATTTCCTGGATAGATATCACTTGCCAAAACTGAATCAAGAGCAGATAAACAATCTAAACAGACCTATAACCCCTAATGAAATAGAAGCACTCATCAAAAGTCTCCCAAAAAAAAAAAGCCCATGCCCCCATGGCTTCAGTGCAGAATTCTACCAGAAATTCAAAGAAGAGCTAAGTCCAATACTCCTCAAAGTATTCCACACAATAGAAGCAGGAGGCTCACTGCCAAACTCTTTTACAAGGCTACAATTACCTTGATACCCAAGCCACACAAGACACAACTAAGAAAGAGAACTATAGACCAATTTCCCTCATGAACATTAATGCAAAAATACTCAATAAAATACTCTCAAATCGAATTCAAGATCACATCAGAAAAATCATCCACCATGATCAAGTAGGCTTCATCCCAGGAATGCAGTGATGGTTCAACATTAGATAATATATCAATGTAATCCACCA